GGGGAGGAGGGGGAGGAGGAGGTGAGGAGGAGGAGGAGGAGGAGACGGAGGCGACGGGGGAGGGGAGGAGGGGGAGGTGGGAGGAGGAGGAGTGGGAGGAGAGGAGGAGGGGGAGGAGGAGGAGGAGGAGGAGGAGGAGGCGGAGGAGGCGGAGCCGGAGGAGGAGCAGGGGGAGGAGGAGAAGGAGGAGGAGCAGGAACAGGGGGAGGGTGATGTCGATGGTCATGGTGACGACGGTGACGACGGTGATCATGCTGCTGCTGATGATGGTGATGATCACACACATGATGCTGTTGTAGATGATGATGAGGAGGATGAGGAGGAAAAGCAGGAGTTTGATGTCGATGATTGTGATGGAGTGAAATGAAGTTTGCGGGGACGTGTGAGAAACGGGACTGACGTCAGGGTCTACTGCAGCATCGCTTATGCAGCATGCATCTTCGGTTTGCTCTGGTCCTCCTCTTCCTCCTCCAGCTCTTCCGCCCTCTCCTCGTCCTCCACCCCGTCTACCTCCCCTTCCTTACTCCTGCCTCCGTTGGGGCCACCATGGTGCCAGCAGACTGTCCGACCGCACAGGAGCGGTGGTGCGCGGAGGGGGCGCTGGCGGCGCTCGAGTGTGCTTGTTGGCGGTAGGCGCACAGCGAGAGCCGCTGTAGGGTTCCCGGCGCGCCCCGCCATCGTTTTGTTTGTGGTTGTTCCCTTTATCGGGCTCATCCTGCTCATTATCCTCCCTCCTCTTCTCCCCTTCGTCCCTCGTTCCTTGTTCCTCCTTCGTGCTCCCCCCCTGCCTCGTGCCTCCATTATCCATCCTCCCCCGTCCTTTCCCCACTTTGCTCCTTCCGTCCTTTTCTCTGCCCTCCCTCACCCTTCCCCCTCTTCCTTTTCTCCTCCTCCTCCCGCTGCTCCTCCATCTCCCTCCTCCCCCTCATCTTCTCCCTCCTCCCCCTTCTCTTCCTAATTCTCCAAGTTTTCTGTGCGGAGCTGGCCGATCGTTTTAGGGAGGGGCCAATAGGGCTCTGGACCCTCTTTGGCGGTTGGTTGGCCCCCAGCCGAAGAGGCTGCCAGCGGGTCGGTTACACGCACGAGCGGCCCTTCGCCAGCGTGACCCTTGGTGTGCGGCTTTCGGGGAGCGCGGGGGAGGAGGTGGAACCCGCCATATGTACACGTATATCGAATCACACTATGTTCATGTAAGTTGTATTAGCTTGCATGGCATGATGCAATCGTGCATCCTGTTATATGCTCGCAGTTTGCTTATGCTGTATTGGGTTGTTTTATTATGTATCGTATCACATCATTTACTATGGCGTAGTATGATCTGATATGATTCGAATCGAAGACGCCTACGGCGAATCACCGCCGCCTCCTGCCCCTTTGGAAGCGCCTATGTGGCCGACAGCTGGGCTAGAGCTTGGCCAAACTATCGGGCCAGTTATTCCCCGAGTCGGTTTGGAAAGCCTTTGGGGAACGCGTGGGGGAACAATAGGAGGATCAGGAGAGAGATGATGATGATGATGATGATGATGATGATGATGATGATGATGATGATGATGATGATGATGATGATGATGATGATGATGATGATGATGATGATGATGATGATGATGATGATGATGATGATGATGATGAATGAGATGATGAATGATGATGATGATGATGATGATGAGATGAATGTGATGGGGATGATGATGATGATGATGATGATGTGATGATGATGATGATGATGATGAAGATGATGATGATGTGATGATGATGATGATGATGATGATGATGATGATGATGATGATGATGATGATGATTGATGATGGTGATGCGATGATGGTGATGGCATGATGATGTGATGGTGATGATGATGATGATGATGATGATGATGATGAGATGATGATGGTGGGGGTGGTGGTGGTGGTGGTGGTTGGTGGGTGGTGGTGGTGGTGGTGGTGATGATGATGATGATGCTGATGATGATGATGATGACGATGAGATGATGATGATGATGATGATGATGATGATGATGCTGATGCTGATGCTGATGCTGATGCTGATGTGATGCTGATGCTGATGCTGATGCTGATGCTGATGCTGATGCTGATGATGGTGATGGTGATGGTGATGGGTGATGGTGATGGTGATGGTGATGGTGATGGTGATGGTGATGGTGATGGTGATGGTGATGATGATGATGATGATGCTGATGATGATGATGATGAGGATGATGATGATGATGATGATGATGATGATGATGATGATGATGATGATGGTGATGATGATGATTAGGAGGAGGAGGAGGAGGAGGAGGAGGAGGAGGAGGAGGGTGAGCATGAGTATGATGGGGAAGGGGGAGGAGTATGAGGACGAGACTTCTTGGGAACCTTCTTGCGAGTCCTCTTGGGAGGCCTCTGCGGAGCTTCCTGGGAGCCTTTTGGAGGCCTCTTGGGAGCCTCCCTGGGCCTCTTGCCTTTGGGAGCTTCTTGGGGTCCTCTTGGCAGTCTTAGGGCGTTCCCGGCCCGTCTGACACCGTCGGAAGCCGTCTTGGGGGCCTCTCTGAACCGACTTGGTGCTCTCTTGGGACGCTTCAGGGCCGTCTTGGAGAGTATCTTGGACGTCTTGGAGGTCGCCGTCTTGGGGCCTCTTGGGCCGTCATGCGGCCATCTTGGAGGCCTCTTGGGCGATCTTGTGGCGACCTTGGTGGCCTCTTGTGCCGTCTGGGGCCGTCGGAAGCCCGAACAAGAGCAAACGCCAAATTGCTTCAAAAACCTTAGGAACATCAATGACTTTGATCTCTTCGGGTCCTCCTGGAGGACCTCGTGGAGGACTCTTGGGCCGTCTTGGATGCCTCCTGGGGCCTTCTGGGCCGTCTTTGGCCATGTTGAGGCCATCTTAGGCCGTCTTGGGTGCATTTTGGGCCGTCTTGGAGGCATCTTGGGGCCATCTTAGCCGTCTTGGAGGCCATCTTGGCCGTCTCGGAGGCCTCTTGGAGCCCTCTTGGGGCCGTCTTGGAGGCCTCTCTCTTGGGCCGTCCTGCCGCTGCGCGGTCAGGATGGCAATCCTTATGCGTCTCTCCGGATGGCCGGCGGGACGGACCGAAGCCCCTCTGAGACCATCTTGGAGTCCTGGGCAATCTTGGGGCGATCTTGGAGGCCTCTTGGGCCGTCTTGGACTGTCGGAAGGCCCAACAGAAGCACATCCCAAAAACTATGAAAACCTTCTGACAAACCAATGGTTTTGGCCTCTTCGGACTCTCCTGGGAAACGTCTTGGAGGCCTCTTGGGCCATCTTGGAGGCATTTTGGGGCCATGGTGGCCGTCTTGGAGGGAATGTTGACCGTCTTGGAGGCGTCTTAGAGCCCAGTAGGCCATTCAGGGCCATCTTGGCCGTCTCGGGGAAAATCTTGAGCCATCTTGGAGCCGTCTTGGGGCCGTCTTGGGGGCCTCTTGGGCCGTCTTGGGCTATGGGAAGGTCCAACAGAAGCACATCCCAGAATCCATCAACAACCCAAGGCAAACCAATGATTGTGGCCTCTTCGGGCTTTCCTGAAGGACATCTTAAAGACCTCTTGGGCCATCTTGGAGGCATCTTGGGCCATCTTGTCCGTCTTGGAGGGCATCTTGGAGGCGTCTTGGAGGCGTCTTGGAAGCCATCTTGGTCCAGGATCATCTTGAGCCATCTTGGAGCCGTCTTAGCGCTCTCGGGGGCCTCTGGGGGGGCATGTTTGGGGCCTCTTGGGAGCCTGTGGAGGCTCCTTGGGAGGCTTTTGGGGGCCTCTTGGAGCTTCCTGGGGGTCTCTTTGGTATCTTGGGGCCTCTTGGGGGCTTCTTGGAACCCTCTTGTGGCCTCCTGGAGGCCTCTCGGGGCCGAGGGCTCGAAATGTCCGTTCGGGTCCCCCGTCTGGGCCCCCTTCTTGGAGCTGCCTTGGGGGCCTCTTGTGCCGTCTTGGAGGCATCTTGGCCGTCGTGGGGTCCTCTCTTGGGCAGTTTTGGGGCCTTGCTGGAGGCCTCTTCGGCGGTCTTGGGGTGACATTGAGGGCCTCTTTGGCTGTCTTGGGGCGTCGGGAAGCCGAAAAGGCAAGAACACCTAACTCATTTAAAATGATTTGTGCTTCGCGGAGCCCTGTTGGGGCTGCTTTTGGGGCCCCCTTGGAGCGTCTTCGGGGCCCCTATGGCCGCCTTGAGGCCACCTTGGGCGCCTGGGAGCGATCATGGGGCGACTTGGGGCCCTCTTGGGCCATCTGGGCGACTTCCTGGGGCTTTCCCGGATCGTTTTTGGATCCTCCTGGTTCCCATAAGACGCACGCGACATACCCCGGGATCTCCCTGAAGCTTACAGATTATCATCACATGGTATAGTACATGCATCGCATATTCTGATGCTCAAGCACATATGTATAAACACATAGGTATGTGTATTTAGTTATATCTATGTGCAATGTGTATTCAACATATATAGGAGTACATGTTCTATGGCATCCCTCCCGTTCCCACACGTACATGTATATATGTACATATGTATATATATAGATACATATATCTGTACGTCGATTATGTGCGCATGTGTGCCTACACATCTATGTGTACATGTGTGTGTACATGCACAGACCCACCGCATGTTGTGCCAGGGCTTTCAGTGAGAACGACTGCGAAGGAGTCGCCGGACAGAGTCACCGATTGTGCGAGCCGCCGCCCTCGTGCAGGGCCGCCCCTGCGCGCAGCCGAGGGGGACACGTTTTCCCCCCCGTCGGGCGAGAGACCCTTGGGGTGCACACTGCGGCGCGCACCGCACGCGCAGTGTCGGCGGCCATCTCGAGGCGCCAGGGGCTGTTGGCGCGGGGAGCCGCGCGAACGAAGAGATGCCCTGCTGCGCCTCATCGTCCTCGTCCTGGTCCTCCTCCTCGTCCTGCTCCTCCCTTTTCTCCCCCTCCGTCCTGCTGGACCTGGGACCAAATCCTCGTCCTCGCACTGCTGTGCATGCTCTTCTGTCAGGTCCTCTTCCTCCCTCCCCACTGTCTCCCCCTGGTCCTCTGCTCCTCTTCCTTATTGATTACATTCCTCAATCCCGCCTCACGCCCCTCCAAATTCCTGCCCTTTACCCTCTTCCGTCTTCTCCTGCTCATCCCTCACCCGTGCTTCAATCCGCAGCGGACGCGGGACGCCGTTTGCTTGACCACTTGATTGACCCAACTCGCCGCAGACCAAGATAGCTCATCCCTCCCCTCCTCTCTCCTCCTCCTGCCCCCCCTCCTTTCCTGCTCCTGACCCCACATCACCTCAATCCAGCTGTCTGCCTCCCTGCCCACGGAGGACCCTCGAGGAGGGAAGGCCCGCTCCCATTCTCTCTGGGGAGTTTGGGTCCTCGCATGCTCTCTTGGGGCGCTACGGTGAAGTCGGGCGTGTCCCTCTCCAGGAGGAATATTCAAAAATAGTTTCAGAATAGTCTGGGGAAGATGTTTTTACTATTTGAGGGTCTTGTTGATTATTATCTGGAGCATTTTTTTCACTTTTCGTCCAAAATGCCCCTTCAGGGGGACATGCCCGACCTAACGCTACGGCCCTGCAATGTCTCAGAACCATCCGAAGAGTACCGAACAGGGGAGGCGTCTTAGCCTTCTGATCGTTCAGAAACCCAGCCCCTAGCTGGAAGGCAGGTCTGGGCTGGGCGCGCGCAAGGAAGGGTGACTGGTTGAGAGGATGTGGGGGTATTGGTTCGAGGTTCGACTTTGTCATGATCTTTCGCCGCATCTCGGCGTTCTTCCAGCCGCGGGATTCTCTCCAGCAGCTGTGCTTCGCCGAGTGCGTTCGAGGTGTGCCCAGATCGTCCCGAACGGTGGCCAGGGAAGTGGTATTATGACCCGAAGACCAGGGGGCAACGTTTGCGGGAGATAGCCTCATGGAGGAACGCATAGACCCGCAATCGCCGACTCATCGCCCACTCATCGGCCCAGGGCGCACGAGATCGGCGTGGCCGGGGGAGGTGTGGGCTGGGACGTCGTGGCTGCCTGGGGCCGACCGTGGGGTTGGGAGTTGGGAGTGCAATGTTGTTGATACTCGGCGTTGGCCGGCGCGATCCCTCACTCAATGGCCTTCGTGGAGGGCCGGCGTGCCGCAGGCGCGCCTGCCTCCATTGCAGGGGCGCCGGACCTTCCCAGCGACGGCAGTTTCGGT